AAGTAAATGAATAAAAACAAAAATACCCAGACATATATCCACAGAAATTATTCATCTAATGTTTCATAAGACAATAAAATATATACAGTGAAGAAATTATAGGTTTGGCAATAAATGCTATGAAAGAAACTGTGATGTACACGTGGCACAATGAAAATAAATCTATATTTCTCAATCTGTACAAAAATAATTCTAAAATTCAATAGTAAATAATGATGTGTGTAAGTGCTGGATATTTAAAGTCCAGACAAAATGTAGATGAATTAAGAACTACATAAAAAGGGACTCAGTAACCAAAAGTAGTCCAAAGAATGCCCATGATATTAAATACTTTTATACAGAAATAAAGGCAATCAGTGAAGTGAAGAAAGAACATATAAAATCTTAGAATTCACCAAAGAATTACAGACTATAGATAATAAAGATAGAGAATTACATCACTTCCACATCCCTAACCTCTATTGACCCTTCCCTTCTTCATCTGGAAAATTCTTCTCAAATTTATGGTCTTTTGTTCTTCAGCTAACATTGTTATAAACACATATATGACTATCACACACACACACAAACACACACACACACATTGCTAAACTGAATTTTGTTAAAGTTAGATCAGGCCTACTAAACATATTTGCCAGTGTACATTTTTTACTGAAAGATAATAGATTTGAGGTAGTTTGTCATGAATGGAAATATGATATGCACCACAAAGAAAAATATCACCTAAAGACAGGAAAGTAAGTTCAACTTAAGTGTTTATGTGAAATTAGAGCCTTTTATTTCTTAACATTGTTCACAAATCCCTGAGTCTTTCTAGCAGACAGATATGGGTGATAAACAGGATGTAGCTCTAATACTAGTCTGGAGCTAGTCACACACCAGAGCCCAAATTCTGCAGATAAGGATGTAATCATTCCCTGATTTACTCCTGGCAATACAGACAATGTTAACTTCCTGTACTAAGAGAGTCCTGTGGAAATGCTTCCAGACAAGGAAGACTAATGACACCTGACTAATGACTTCTTTACAATTCCCAGATTCTCTACTGTGATCAAAGACCTAACAAGGGTGACTTTCTCAGGAAGTTCCTGGAGGCTTATCTTTCATACACATACAGTTCATTGTGTTGGGGACTGTGAGATGGCTTTTTACATTGATTCCACAATCAATGCACACAGAGAGACAAATATTGTTGTTTTATTTCTTCTTTCTTTTTACTCAGATTGAGTCACAGTACATGAAATTGTGTCTCCAACATTAATGAAAATATAGTATAGTGTAACCATTATGGACATTGATGGGAAGATTCATCAAAAATATAGAAAATATAGAAATTGATCTAACTTATGACCCAGATACACAACTCCTGAGTATATACCCAAAAGGTCATATTCCCTACTATAAAGATACTTCTTTAGCCATATTTATTGCCATGTATTCACAAACAAGAAGTTGAAATAGCTTAGACCTATTAGCTCATGAATGGATAATGAAAATATAGTATATATACACAATGAGTATTCAGTCAACTCTAAAGATAATGAAATTTACAGGAAAATGGATGTAGCTGGAAATAATCATTTTTAACTAGGTAACCCAGACTCTCAAAGATATATGCCAAATATTCTTGCTTATATATGGATCCTAGCTTTGAATTTTTATATTCATTCTTATTATTTATTAATTATGTATACATGTGTGGGGGTATAGGTATATACATGTGTATAAGGGTTCACACAGAGGCCAGAGGAGTTTGATCCTCTGGATCTGGAGTTACAGACAGTTTTCAGCTGCCAAAAATGGGTGCTGAGTATCAACCCAGGACATCTGGAAGAACAGTACATGCTGCATCTTCCTACCTTTGAATCTTTAGATATGCATTTTTAAGTTGAAGTAGCTTTAGAATTTAAGAAACTATTCTAGGTTTATGGCATGAGTGGCAAGATTTCAAGACTGGAAAAAAATAGCAAAATATAGATGTGTTAAGAAGAAAGAAGAACAATGGAGATAAGATATAGCAAATGATGTGAGGATGGGAAGGCAAATGAAAAGATGGCTAAAAGAGCACATAAACTAAATCTAAAGACTTTTAATGTCCATATAGAAACCTAGTACTGTAGAAGATAGTTGATATTGGAATTTGGTAATTACAGGTATTAATAAAATATTAACAAGCTGTTACTAAAATAATGAAGAATCTATCACTCTGTTAAGTTGATCCCTTTGAATAAGAATGACCAGGGTTGAATGGGAAATACTGAGTACATTTAACTCTTTATAAGCTACTGTCTTTCTCAATGAGATATTTGACTCACTATTTGGGGGCCCTTCAAGTACTCCATAGAAGGGGCTGCTGTGGGACAATGGTCTGGTAGCCTGTAAAGATTTGTTACTTGTATTTTAATAAAATTCTGATTGGCCAGTACCCAGGCAGGAAGTATAAGTGGGGCAATGAGAATAAGAGAATACTGGGAAGAGGAAATGGTCAGTTTGCAGTCGTGAGAACCAGAATAAGAATGAGCACATGTTTTATAGCTGCATTTACAGTATAAGAGATCAAGTCTAAATGGGCTGGTATCTTAAAGGCTATCAGCTGAAAGAGCTGAAGGAACTCCCACAGCAAGAGGCAATCAAGATCATCTCAGCCATGGGTGAATGGAACCAGGCCTATTCCTTTTTTCCACTTTTTTATTTCATTAAAAAAACAAAAAGCACACTATCTTTTTTTCATTTTACATACCAATCCCAGAACTCGCTGTCTTCCCTCCTCCCATTCAATCCACCTTCCCCCCTCCACCGCATCCAGTCCCCAGAGAGAACAAGTCGCAATTCTCCGAGGAAGGAGAAGATATACTTATCTTCCCAGTATAAGCAGGCTGATCTCCAAAAATAAATAAAGAATTCAAGAAATTAGACATCAAAATTCTAAATAATCCAATTAAAATATGGGGTTCAGATCTAAACAGAATTCTCAGCAGTAGAATCTTAAATGATCAAAAGACACTTAAGGAAATGTTCAACATCCTTAACATTCAGGGAAATGAAAATCAAAACGACTCTGAGATATCATCTTCCACAAGTAAAAATGGCTAAGACCAAAAATACCAATAATAGCTGGAGAGGGTAACAGGAACACTCCTCCATTGCTGATGGGAATGCAAACTTGTACAACCACTCTGGAAATCAGTATGGTGATATCTTAGGAAATTGAGAATCAACCTACCTCAGGATCCAGCAATACCACTTTTGGGCATATACCAAAAGGATGCTGAATCATGCTACAAGGACATTTGTTCAACTATGTTCATAGCAGCATTACTTGTAATTGGCCAGAACCTGAAAACAACCTAGATGCTCCTCAACTGAAGATGGAATAAAGAAAATGTGCTACATTTACACAATGGATTATTACCCAGTGGTAAAAAAAAAAGGGTATCTTGAAATTTGAATGCAAATAGATAGGACCAGGCCTGTTTTTAAAAGCATTATTCTTCAGAATAATATTTGAGTCTCATGACCTCTTGGCTGCCCTTTGGTCAAATATTCTTTGTTGGTTAGATCAGTGTGAAGAAAGGGTCCAGTGACAGAAGAACAATGTCTATCCCCAAAGGCTTTCCTGTCCTCTCAAAAGGAAGTTTAATTTACACTTCTTATGCTCAGGCATTATCTTCCTGATTCTGGTATACAATATGAACTCTAGAAGAAAGGTGTTCCTTGCTTATTTCTTTTAATATATATTAATTGAGGAAAATAGTTTCCAACAAAAAAGATTCTAAATCATTTTCACACTTGTATCTCTATGTCCACATTCTATCCACTGCTCCTCGTGCTCCCTGAATTTTTTTTTCTTTTCACTGACCTATTCTTCACCAAAGAAACAGTTTCTACACAGCAGCAGAAGACCATTAATTTTATCTCCTCCTCTATTCAGAGAAATCCAGTTCTGACCAGACCCTGCTGATGATTTCTGGGGAAATGCTTATCCACGAAATATAGACTATTGACAATGTGTTGGATGCAGACAATAGTAATTTTTAGCAAACTAGAGAATGATATGGCATATGCTTTGATTTCAGTATAAAGAAATATCTAACTGTGACTTAAATGAAAACAACACACTCTTGCTTTACTTTCAGATGACATTGCTCTGGGCACTTCTACGAAGTGTCATAAAAAAGACCTTCTTAGAACAAATAAATGTCACTCCCCATCTAATTCTGACAATTATAATCAGTCAATTGTATACCACTGCCATAGGTCTAGCCAAATATATTCTGATTAAATTTGAGACCAGTTCATGACAGAACCTATGTTTGTGTAGGTAAGGCTGGCAGAAAGTCTGTGGCTTAGGTAAAATATTCAAAGCTTCAACATGATTTGGCTAATAAACATACTTTGACTACCAAATAAACCCTCACAAAACCAAAACAAAATGACCAAGCAAACAAACAACAAAAAATCCTCTACATGTCTAGATTTGAACCTTAAATTACTTACCTATTGTGCCTAGTGTGTAGAAATAAACACTTTACCGTGTTCTCTGGATTCTGGCAAAAAAAAAAAGATTCCTAAATGTTAAACTGCTTGGAATGCAGGACTGTGGTGGTGTTGTGTTGCAATTCCCAGACACAGTGAAATAAATATGTCAACTTAACCAAGATTCAGTGACAGAAACACTTAAGTAACTGAAGAAAAGTGGAAGTCTGGGACACAGATATTTTGCTAAGGCATGGAATTCATACTAACTTTTGTGAAACGGAGATAGTTATTTGCAACTTAATTTTGATCCTAGAAAATATTCTTGAAATAAGCTAAACGGGTCATACTGACTACTTGAATCATTGTGGTCATGAGGTTGTTAAATCCTGCCTGAAGTTGAAGAGTCATATGATTTTCACCTTTATTCCTGATGTTATTTCTTCTTGCCTCCTAGCACTGTGTGGCCTTCAGGATGTTTCAACAGTCTATATAGGAGGAGGACTATTTACCGGAGGTGAGACTGCACTGAGACAGCTAAGGTGTGCCAGGACTCCTCAGAGATGCCACTGTCTTTCTTTCATCTATGCTCCTGTAAGTAACTCTTTCCTTGTGTTCTTTTAAGTAAGCTAAGATGTCCCTTTGACTTACAAGATCATTTGGAGAATTCACATTTTTATATCCTTTTTTGTCCCTTTTGGAATGAACAAACTGCCATTCATGCCTATTCAGGACAAGTATAATCAGATAAAGTTGAGAGACTTTCTAATCGTTTCGGTAGGAATAAATGCACCATACACTCTTGCATCAGTGGTTATTAAAAGGAGACTTCATTCTAGGAGACATGTAGAAATATCCTGAGACTTTGTGGACTTTCTTAACCTACCTAGATAGAAAGGTTTTTCAAAATCTAGTGATAAGTGTGTTACACAACCTCAAAAGACTAGGACACGAAATGATCAACATCAAAAAGTCAAATTGCAGAAACTGAGACATTTGATTAGAATGAGTTAAAAGGGGATTATACTGAATTTTCAGTAACTGTAAAATTTAGACTGTACAATGTTCTGGTTTCTAGATCTCTGCTATGAGATGCTTGATTTGAATGAACTTAATTTTATTTTTTGTTGTGGGGACTTGGTTTTCAAGGGTTGCAGATGAGGATCTTTTCAACCAGCTATAAAATGGTCAATCCAGAAAATATGTTTCAAAAAGGAAACTATGTCATATTTACCTTCTATTCTTGATAAAATTTCTAAGAATTAGATTTTCTAAAACAAAAACCAATATCTTTAGCCCCTTGTGCTCAACTTAAACTGTGAATATTTTTCAGCTAATAAATGGAAGAACTATAGATGTTTTTATATATGTATAATTATCTTATACATATATATTTATATATGTATAAGATGAATTAGGGAAAGCATTATGATTTTTCTGAAAATTTAGTTTTACAATAAGAAATATTTTCTCAGTTTAGATCAATATCAACGAGTCAACCCTAAAATCGTACATATAATTTATATTCTACTGGCTGAGTACATTATACATACATATATATATACATATGTAATTTGAAGACATGTGTGTATATATGTCTATAATGGTAGCAACTAGAGAAATGTTCATGAATTTAAAAGAGAAAAGAGTTTTTGGAGTCAAGAAAGGAAAGAGGTAAAGGATATAATTATCATGAGCTCAAAAAAGAAAAAAATTATCTTAATATTTTTATTTTTCTTAGAATAGTTGATGGTTTTAATATGTAGTACACAATCCTTTTGATGCTTTAATTGTTTACAATATGTGTAATTTGGGTTATTTTAATATAAATAAATCTTTCAAGTACTTTAATTTTATTTAGAATATTTATAGTTGCATTTATCAGATATACTGGACATGAGGATCTTTTTTACACTTGTTTACTAAAAAAACCAAATTAAATTTTCATTTTGATATCTACATGGTAATTCATGTCTTAAAATATATTGATTATCAGTATGTAGAGCTTTTGTCCACCTATAAAATATAATTTGATGATGATACCAACACTTCTCATTGTCAAAAAGAAACACATTTAAAACATTGTTTTATAGAGCAAGGCAAGTAAATAATATAAAGATTACTGGGGTTTCTGCAGTCAAGTGCTAAAAGATAAAACTTGATCTCTATAAGAAACAAATTCTTCTGACACTGAGTCTCAAAACTGTGGATATGTTCCCTGAAATTCAGTTATAGCTGAGAGAGCCTGGGTGTGTACTGAATCACAATGCATAAAGGAGAGCCTATAGTGTTGACAATCTATCCTACCACAGCTGATCCTAGGATATAGGGAAAAAAACAATTCTAGCAGCTTTCCCTTTCCACAATACTGTTTGATAACATTATACAGGATCAGTCTACCCAGAAAGTTATTGGAAAGTTCAACTTTATAGAAAAGACATTCTAAAACTTGTAGAATGGCAAACTCAGAATTATTACTCTAAGATAATAGAGGTTCCTTTACATACAGGGATCTTGCCATCCTTTGTGTTACACAACAGCCACTCGTGTGTTTACTCTTTTCAAGACAGAAATTAAAATGAAAACCACCATGCTACGCTCTTAAATGCACACATTGCACACTTAGTTTGCAAAGCTCATATTTCTCCTCCTCGTCTTACACAATGACTTCTGGGCTTATGCGAATAGGAACAGGGAGTTTATTCTTAGATTGAATCTTCTAGGAATCTCAGAAGCTACCCCTAGGAAGTCACACCAGCCTGATTGCCTAATCATGAGCTGAATAAATTAAAAAAGCAGTAAGTATTCTAACAAAAATTAGGTAAAGTCCAGGAGGCCCAACCTAACACCAAGAACTACAGGCAGCTACGGCACAGCTTGATGACAGTTGGAGAAATAGTCTTCCTCAGAGAAAAGCACACCCATTGGCTATCTATACTAAATGATCCTTCCTGGAAATCTTAGAATATTATAATCTTAAACGTTTATAAAGATTACACATATATATTTAAGAATATATGTACGTATATAACTATGTATGTATAAAAGAACATACTCATAGGTTCATAGCAACAATTAATGAAAAAAAGAGGCCATGAGTTTTAAAAAGAGCAAGGAGACATATATGGGGTTATTGGGTGGAGGAAAGGGAAGGGGTAAATGATGTAACTTTATTAATCTCAAAATTTAAAGGACACATGATGTCTTAGAGGAAGGATAACCTGAAAACCAGCATAAACTCTTCATAAATTCTTATAACACTGAACTAAAAGACAATTAATTTAATCCTCTAATGATGAAAATTCCACAATTATTTCTGATATCAACCCCAAACTGTAGGAAGTCAATAAGTTTTAATACCATATACCTGTCCAAATGTAACAGGAATTACATTTTCATTTTAAAAGCCTTTTTTCACTACTACCACTATACAGTATCAGATCACACAGGGGAAGACACTGAGTAAAGATGATGCCATTTCTTTTGATAATTTTGGATAAATGAATCTGAATGACTTTTGTTTCTTTTAGTAGGGGCAATTCTGCTGCTGCTGGTGTCAAACCTCCTTTTATGGGAGAATGTGGCCTCTGTGCCTTTGGGTACTAATGACACTAATGATGATAACCTATACCTCGAAGAATTATTTGATCATGCCAGGATACTCTTGCACAATATCAGTAAGCTCAACACTGAAATGCGTAAGATATATGTAAGTACTTCACTTATCTCTAGCAACCCCTTGTCTAAAATTTTTCTGTACCCTTTTATAGTTATCATGAACCAAATTTATAATAATTCATGTTTCTATTTACAAAGTATCAGCTATTGAAATAATTAAGTGAGGAGAATGGGGTACGTTCCTGAAATCTCAAAGATATTTGAAGGCTTCAATGAGATTTGGAATTTTCCCAACATACCTTCAAATTTTCTTAAATTTTTACTTGTGGCATAAAAATCTAATAGACACAGCTAGGGAAGAGGTTTGACTTCCTTACATTGTTTGCTAGAGGCCAATCTCTATTAGTATTGCTTAGCACACAGCAGATATACATTAGAGGAGACGTGCATTACAGGGAGTCACATGGAATGAATAAAACTAATTTAAATTGTGATGTTAAGTTCAGAGGAAAAACTAAACAAGCAAAATGCACACACACACACATCCACACAAATCACACACACAAGTATTAGTTTCTTAAACTTTTTTTTTCTCTTGAAGATTTTTTTTATTGAGAATAAGAAAAAAAAAGTTTCCGCCTCCTCCCAGCCTCCCATTTCTCTCCCCCTCCCCCCACTCTTCTCCCCTCCCCCCTCTCTCCTCCCCCTCCCCCCACTCCTCTCCCCCTCCCTCTCCTATCCAAAGAGCAGTTATGGTTCCCTGCCCTGTGGAAAGTCCAAGGTCCTCCCCCCTCCGTCCATGTCTAGGAAGGTGAACATCCAAACTGGATAGGCTCCCATCAAGCCAGAACATGAAGTAGGATCAAAACCCCTTGCCATTGACCTTGGCTTCTCATCAGTCCTCATTGTTCGCCATGATGAGAGAGTCCGGTTTTATCCCATGCTGTTTCAGTCACAGTCCAGCTGGCTTTGGTGATCTCCTAAACTTTTAAAGACTGGGAATCCTTGTTTAAAGAGTACAACCCATAAGTTTATTCACTTATTCATAAGACAAATAGATTCTCTGTTCCAGTGGGCTGTATGTTTTCTGTTCAAGGTGAGTCAGTTTCAAGGAAGACACAGTAGACAAGATTTCTGTACAGAAATGTACACGAGAAGACTGAGTTTGTTTTTGTAATGACTATGAATCGATAATAATCTTTTAACTCACTAGTTTTTCTCTCATTCCCTTCATCCGGTCTTAGATTGAAAGTGAGTTCTCCGAAAAATTTCATTATAAATTTGTAAGTACCTCTCTTGTTTCTTTCTCCTTTCTCCCCCAAAGTCTTCAGGTTAATGATTTGAACTAAGCATGGGAAAGGATCCAAGTTTCGTGTAATAAAATTCCAAGAGTGAAAGAAAGTTCCAGCTACTTTAAAGCAGAATCTGAATGGGACAACTTCTGGAAGTTTTTGGTTTACAAGAAATAGAGTGGTTTTTAAGGTCCATCTCCCTTGATCATTGTTGTTTCCTTAAAAAAAAAATCTTTGCACTTGCAATATAATGCTTTAATAGTTGTATTCAAAAATCTATGATCTTGCGTCTACAACCTGGATTCTCTTGACATCTTTCCTTAGCACACTGAAGATATCCAATGCAGAAAAACTACATTGTACTGTGCCACAAGAAATGGGTAGAATGAGTCTAAACTGTGATAACTCAAGCAGGGAAAAAGGCAAAAAACAACAACGTATTAGCTTCTCATGAACTCCTAAATTCTGGGAATAATATGAAAGGTTTCTGGAGTACAAATTTATCCACTGTGAAAGCTGGATTACAAAAGAAACTGGCTCTGTCATCCTGAGGATTGTATAGTACCTGGTCAAGGTCAATCAGGGACATGGAGGATACACTAGTACCTCCATGGCTTCAGTACAAATATGCACACCCAGAGAATCTCTTTTGTTTTTTTTTTTTTGCAATAAATATGCATTCATGTTGTGTCTTTACTAACAGTTTTATTTTATTTTATTTATTTTTATTTTTGCAATACCCTACTCTGGATTCAGCTAGCCTCAGGATCGGAGTCATATGACAAATTCGTAAGTACTTTACTTATTCCCAGCTTTTCCCTCAAAAAAGCCTTCATGCTGATGACATTACCAGGACTTACAAGAGAAAGCATTGAATATCAAGTGTCAACTAACACACATCTACAGCTAGATCATGATACAACATTCTTGGAGTGTTATACAAGAAAGCCTCTGGTAGTAGAAGGAAAAATGGGAATGGGAAAGCTTTGGGGAAACTGATTGGAAAAATAAAATGAAATGGTTTGGTAAAGATTTTCTCTAAATTCATTTACTTTTTAATTTAAAAAATCATAGTTGTGGCATAAAACTAAAATCACTGTGCCTAGAGAAGAATTCTGATATGCAGATCTAGCTTTTAATACTGACGTGTTTTTACTTAGTTCATGGCCGATATCCAAAAGGCTGACATACACTGTAGTCAGTTAGATGGAGGAAAGAGAAGCAATCTAAATGGAGACAATGCCAAAAGGTAGGAAAATACCCCACTCTGGACTCAGCTAGCCTCAGCATCAGAGTCATATGACAAATTCGTAAGCACTACTTGCTTTTCGGGAACTCGCAGTGTTGGAAATTCTGTTAGAGAACCAGCGTTAGAGTTCACACAGTATTGGGCTGTTTGACAGGAAAAAAATAGTTTTTCTCCTCCTGATAACTGCTTGTTATCTGTTCAAGGTCAGTTCACATAAAGGAGGAAAACATTAGGCTTCAGTAAAACAATGGGTATCAGGAGAATGTATCCTTTCCTTTGCAATAGTTATGTTATGATGGTGTTTTTACTCATAAGTTTTTCATTCCTCATTCTTTACTGACCCTCTTTCAAATTTTTAACGTTCCTGCTAATCCATTAAACGTTTGCACAGTTTCTGATAATCAGTTTTAAATAAATTATTAATAGTATAATTAAAATATAAAATTTAAGATTATATATTAATCAATATGCAAATAAAAAGTTTGTTGCTTTTTTATTTCACTGCTTACTAATTCCTAAAGATGGTCAGTTTGTTATATCTATTTTTGTAAAGTTGACACAATTCTGGTCAGGATTTATGATTAACATTGTATGGTACCAGTATATATTTTAACTTGGAATAGAAATAAAACATACAATTTTTTAATTATATAAGAATAAAGAGAAGGTTCAGTGGTTAATACCGAGTTAAAAAACACATATCAATTTGGATTAAAAAGAAGCAAGAAATTGGTGAATTTAGAAACAGTTTGCTGACATTGGGCCCAGATTCTACAGGAAAAAAATGATGTCTAAGACACTTGGAATTTACTATTTTGTTACTTTTTAAAGGCTTCCCAACAATAAAGAAACATTTAGGGAGAATAACAAAATCAAGTAAGAGAGGAATGAATGGGGAAAGGGTTGGCGCTTTGGACATTTAGATGAAGAACAAAATCAGGAGAAAGGTATCAAAGCGTTCACATTATTAAGTCTTTAATCTTTGCTTTCATTCAGATTTCATTGAGTGCATTAATATTCTTGTTATGGATTCAATGACTTATTTTCCAGACTCCAGTTAACTGAATATTTATTTTGACATATACAGATGCTTGAGTATTTTGTGGATCAGGAGTTTCTGGTCAAAACTCTCACTTGCTGCCACAATTACTCCATCAGAACACCAAGAAACATGGATGAAATCCAAAAGATCTCTGTGAGTCTTTAGTTTGATTTTTTTATTTATATTTATATTTATTTATTTATTTATTTATTTATTTATTTATTTATTTATTTATTTATTATACGGGAGAGCTGAAGCTGTAGACTAACTTTACTTCATCATGGCCACAGAGTGAGAATGAACAAAGCAAAATCATTTTAGATATTACATAAACAAAACAAGCAATTGTTAAGTAATATTACAACAGGTTCATAAATTGTCCATTAAGAGGGTTTCATTTTAATGACATCTCACCACTAGAGCTTGTTTAATAAATGCATGCACAGTTGTGTTCTTTGTATGTTACTAATGAACGGCTCCCTCGTGAGAACTCTTAAACCATTGACTACCATACTCAGTCTTCTTGATTTTCAAGACTCAAACTGATTTACTTCTGCTTCTTACTTTCCTATTCATTTTCTCACAATTTCGATGATTTTTTTCCTTGTCTTAACTGTAAGAACCTGAACAAGGGAGGACAATAAACACTGTTTAATGTTTTTCAGAATGAACCATGCCCCCAGTTGTTATGAGGTCTATATACCACTACAACTCCAATTTATAACTGTTTGAATCTTTCCTAATTAGTATTTTCTATAACTTATTTTCAAATGAACTGATTTAGTTATCATGTGAAAATAATAAGACAAAATGAAGAGAGAAAAAAAAATTTTAGATAGGTACTCCACAGCTAAGCACTCCACAACATGCTTTGTTGACTTTGCTGCTATTAACATTCACAAAAGATAACTGATGCAAGTAGACTGAGGCACTGAAAATTTCTTGGAACTTGGACCATCAGCCTTCTGTATCAGAATGGGTGTCAGGCTCCATCCAACTCAAGTCTTAAGTCTTTATTCATATGCAGCTATAGTCCCAGGAGACTGTATTCCTTTCCTTCACTTATTTTTTTTTAATTTCCATAACCATGTCCACTGGAAACCTCTCTACTCTTTTCATTGTCAGTACAGTAGCTAAACATATCAGCACAAAAAAACATTTTAAACCAGGAATGAATGTTATGTAAGATCCTAGAACACACTGGAAAGTCAAATTTCTGTTATTTCTACTGATACTGTTACACTGTTAAAGACAATGACATCTCATTGTTCCATTGTTCTTCCCTTAGATGTTCCACTACATATTTTGTTGTACTAGTGGATAGGAGAGGGAGTGTTCTAGACTGAGAAACCACACTTATTAATGCCACGTTTTTATTAATATCCCAATAAAGCCTAAAAAATTATGATTGTGAACAATCTACTTTTTTGTGTGATGAATCTAAGTTAAATTTCTTGCCCTTTACCCTGTGTGCGGTCTATTTTCCCTCAATCAATATACCAACTAAGCCCCAGAAAATTATGGGGTTCCCCTGAAATGTGTAAGTACTAACAGGGGGGTCAGAGGGCAGAGTTTCATATGAAAAACAAAACATGATCAATAAAATGGGTAATTGGAAATAAGAGATACATATATAAATTTTTGGATGACAGGTTAATCATCTTTACAGTGTTATATTATTTTTAGTCCCCAAACCATTCTACCTGATCATAAAAATAACAAATAGATATTTAAATCGTTTGTCTCACTAAAAACAGAAAGTAACCCTTCCTTACTTCCTTTATCTTCATGCAATTGCTGAAACATGGCTGCTTAGGTTCAAGATTTCTCAAAACTGATACTCAGTAGAGTACAGGCTTGGAATGACACTCTTCACAACCTCCTGACCATACTTGAGAGTACACCAGGAACACACGATGCTGTCCTCTCAATAGCCAGAGACATTAGGACAAAAAATGCAGAACTTTTTGAGGACAGCAAGAGACTACTCAACAAGGTGAGTACTATTCTTACCTTTACTTCCTCATTTGTGAATGATATGACTTCTGCAATGAATATCAAATGTTGAAACACCTCACTTTGCAAGAACACATTTTTGGCACCCAGTCTTATAACTGTCTCAGAACTAATGGAAAGAGATTAAAGTATAACTTTTCCCCAGTAATTTGAACAACATCTATTGCTCTGACTATTGCATTGGAGGTTCCCATTAAATCACCACTAGCCAATCAGTATTCATTACCAAAATCAAACACAAGTCTATGTTCAAGTTGGAAATACTGGTCCTCCATCATCAGAAAAATAAAAAGACAGATTTCATTTGAAGCCAATTTAATGAAAGAAAATGTGTACATGGATCTTGCTTTTACTTTTAGATGACTGACAGACTTATAGTAGCAAGTTTTTGACACATGAAAATCTGTGCCTATGATGGAAGTTTTATATTCTTATATTTTTCTTTGTGATAACAGATATTTGTTTCCTAATTTTATATGAAATACTTTTTATACAATATATTTTATCACAGTCTTTACCCTTCCAACTCCTTACAGATTTTCTCTACCACATTATGTACCTAATTTCAGGTTCTTTCTTTCACCTCCTCCCTCTCTCATAAAACAAGATAAAAAACAAAAGACGAAAAACAGAAATCAAAAAAGACTAGAAAACTATGAAAAGGAGAATAAATAAGACAAAAAATACTCACCCCAAATAAAAGTCCACCCCCTAAAAAAGTAAAAATCCCTTTGAGTATGTTATGTTTTGGCCAGTTATTCCTGGGCATGGATCCTGACCTAGAATATGGTCAATATGCCCAAAGATACTCTTTTGGAAGAACTGGTTTATCCTCTTTTCAAAAGACATCAATTGCTAATAACTCTCTGGTTAGTGATAGGACTCTGTATCCAGTTCCCTTTCTCAGTGCTGGGATTTTGTCTGGTTTGAAGCTGTACACGTCCTGTGCATGCTGTCACAGTCTCTGTGAGTTTAATTCTTTATCAGTCCTGTGGTGTCTGGAAGACTTAGCACCATCTATGTCTCTTACAATTTTTCCATTTCCTCATCCATGTAAATAGTGGATTCTTGAGGGAGGAGTTTGATAAAGAGCTGAGTTGTCCAAAGTCTCTCTCACTCTCTGCACATTGTCCAGTAGTGGATGTCTTTGTTAATTACTCTTGACTGTCAGAAGAAACATCTCTGATGAGGCTTGAAAGGTGCTCTTACTTATCATAATGTTTTATTGCTATGTTTAGCTTACAGAATAATAGTAGTATTTTTCCTAAACCCTTATCATTTCATTAAATTCAAATTGATATCCAGAAAGAAAAGAAAAAGCAAACACAAACTGTATAAATAATTACTGACTGATTGCCATTTTGGTCATTAGACTTATGGAAAAATAGAGATTGTAAAGCACGCTGTCCTGACGGGTCTTGAAGACTTCCAATCACCTGATGAAGAGTTTCGGCTATTTGCTCTTTGTAAATTATCTTATTGCTTACGTGAAGACATGAATATGGTTAACACTTATCTTCAGCTCTTGAGTTGTGTGATACTTGTTAAAAGTGAAGTGTGCTTATACCCCCAAATTAGAGATAACTCATGATGCTGAACCCTTTTAAATAGTCTTAATTTTATACATTTTGAAAGTATGCTTTAATGTAATGGGGATATTTAAAAGAAAAATAAATGTTTATATGACAAAACTTAAAAAGAAAACTTGTTTGTAAGTTTTATTCATTTAGTAGTTAATGTGTTAATATTTTTAAGAGGTTTAAATTGCAAATGGAAAAATCTACTACTTACTTTAGAATCACAGTAAACTACACTCCTCATAGAAGACCACATGATACCACACTCTGCAGTACAGTCTAGTCTTAGGAGTCAAATCTATTCCTTTCTAATCTCAAGGTTTGGGACAGGATTCATAGTCTACATACAATAGTAGTCCATTTGGTCCATCAGACCTTATAATATCATTCCATGCCATTAGGACCTCTTTAGATCCAGCAGACTGGTACACCCTATTATATGGCCTAGTCTGGTGAGTGCCTATTCTTGTGTTATGCCTAAATCAAAGTTGCCCAAAACCAACTAGGAGACTGAGTCCTGTATGTAAAAGCAAAGACCCTTTATTCTTACACAAGTTTGCAAACTTGGACCTTTCTCCCACGTGTGTCCAACATATTGGGGAATGATACGAGAGCACCGAGCTCAGTTATGGTTGGGTTTTTATAGTAGCAAAGGTGGGATGAGGGATTTCTAAGGTTCAGGACCCCTGCTTAGCTGACATTTGTCTAGGGGTGTCCTGGTGAAAAGCGATGGGTGTGTGCTGGCAGGTGAGCCTATCTATAAAGGTTAGAACATTAGGAATTTCCTTTGGATGGTCTGTTCCTGGGTAGTCTAAGCTTGTGGTCTTTCTTGGAACCAGGTATTGCCTTCAGGTAAACAATTGAATCTCAGGTCCATATTGAGCTTGTCATGGCTGGTCCTATACTTGTACCTAAATTTCCTGCACTCACCTGGAGCCACCACTTTAATAGGCCAGCATAATTCTTAGCTGCATTCTAAACTTATCCATATAGTCACAGTTAAATATAGCTTTTACCTCTTGTCAAATAAACTCCTCAATCTTAAATTTAATTCTAATATTTGACCTCTGTACTCAGAGACTACCTGAAGCTCTTGGGCCTTATTAGAGAATTTCCTTTTCACAGTTCATGCAATTGGCAAAGCGATTCAGTTTTATTTATTTATTTAATATTTAAAAAAAAAACTTTTTTTTCACTTTTAAATACCAATCCCACTTTCCATTTTTCCCCTCCTCCCATTCCCTTCACCTTTTCCCTCACTCAAGACCCACCTCTATTCCTCAGAAAGGCTAAGGTATATTGCTTAGAAGAACATCCAAGGCCCTTTCTTCTATATCTAGGCTGAACAAAGTATCCATCAAAAGAGAATGGGTTCCAAAAAGCCACTAAAAACAATAGGAATGAATCCTGGTGCCACTGCCAGTGGCCACGCAGTTTGCCCCAGCTATTCAGAGAGTCTAGTTTAGTCCTATGCCGATTCCTTCCCTATCTGGCTCCCAATAACTCAGATAAAACTGTTTCAGTGGATGTCACCATCATGCTCTTGATCTCTTTGCTCTTATTCTCACTCCTCCTACTCTTCAACTGCACTTTGGGAACTCAGCCCAGTGCTCTGCTGTGGGTCTCTGCCTCTGTTTTTATCAGTTACTGGATGAAGGTTCTATGGTGACATTTAAGATATTTATCAATATGACTATAGTGCCAAGCCAGTTTGGGCACCTTCTCCTCTTTGCTTAAGGTCTTAGCTGGGGTAATCCTTGTGAATTTCTGGGAATGTCTCTAGTGTCAGGTTTTTGCTAGTCTCATAATGACTTCCTCAATCAAAATATTGCTTTCTTTGTTCTCATCTCTGTCCTTCCTCCATCTCAACTATCCCATTGCCTCAAGTTCTCCTACCCTTCCCCTCCTCTCATCTTCTTTCCCTTCTGCCCTCCCTTCTCCTCCCATCCCCATGCTCCCATTTTTGTCAGGAAATCTTGTCTATTTCTCCTTTCCGGGTGGATTTATATATGTTTCTCTTAGAGTTCACTTTGTAACTTAGCTTCTCTAGGGTCACGGAATATAGACTTGTTACCCTTTGCTTTACAGCCAGTATCCACTTATGAGTGAGTACATACCATGTTCATCTTTTTGTGTCTGGGTTATCTCACACAGGATGATTTTTTTCTAATCCCATCCATTTGCATGCGAATTTCAAGACATCATTGGTTTTTTACCACTGAGTAGTACTCCGTTGTGTAAATGTACTACATTTTCCTTATACATTTTTTGACTGAGGGGCATCTAGGTTGTTTCTAGGTTCTGGTCATTATGAATAATGCTCCTCTGAACATAGTTCACCAATACCACATCAGACAGAGGACTGATCTCCAAAATATATAAAGAACTCAAGAAATTAAACATCAAAATTCCAAATAATTCAATTAAATATGGGGTACAGAACTAAACAGAATTCTCAACAGAAGAATCTCAAATAGCCTAAAGACAATTAAGGTAATGTTTAACATCCTTAGCTATGAGGGAAATGTAAATCAAAATGACTCTGAGATACCATCTTACACCAGTCATAATGGCCAAGACCAAAACCACCAATAATAGTCTGTGCTGGAGAGGAGTAAGTGGAACACTCCTCTATTGCTGGTGAAAATGCAAACATTTACATCCACTTTGGAAATCAGTATGTCAGTTTCTCAATTAATTGGGAATCAACCTACCTCAGGACCCAGGAATCCCACTGATGGGCATATACCCAAAGGATGCGCAATCAGACAACAAAGCAATTCTTAAATAATAAAAGTCCAGAGAACAAGTATTAGTGTTATGCTTACCTAGCGGTGGGATATCTATATTATGAAAATCCCAAGTATCAGACATCACTTTGGAAGTGCGGGCAGAAAAATTATTAAGAGAGAGAGTGTGTCAAGTACCAGAGCAAATCATTGTCTTTTGGAAGTTGTAGGACCCATTGACTCACTGTAGCTGTGATTGCTTATATAAGAACTACCTGTGCAAGAACAAGATTGTAAGCATTCATGCACGTAGTGGGGAAGTGACATGAGGTCCACCCCCTAACTCAGGAGTTATTGATGGTTAATGGCTTCAGGGAAGGAAGGGAATGGCCACGTTTAGGTGACCTGCACTCCAATAGGTAAAACCATAACTATGTCAGCACAAATATTCCTTGATGAGTTATTGGAAAAAAAGTTGGAAATGAGTGGGGGGAAGGAAGCAATTAAAGAAACTCACACTATATGGTAGATAAATTATAAACAAATTTACAGTCCAAGTAACATTGCGGCAGATCCATAAATTCCCCATGCAGAGAATCTGTTTTACTAATATCTATATCTTAGAATGTACTCATTATTGCATAGAATGTTTTGAACTGAATTGCATACACATGGTTAAGTGTACTTATGTGTGCATAGGAACTGTTAACACAATTTTATCCATTAAGCATTACAAAAGCCTCTTGGATTTGCAGATCTGAATATTATTAGTTGTCATGTTATCTCATCTTGACCTTCAAAACCCGTCAGGTTCTACATTGCTTTCCAACCTGCGTGTTAAAGCCTCACTGAATTCTCTGTCATTTCTTGAACCAACTGTGAGTCAACTGAGCAAGAGATTTTGGTAAAAACATGGTACAACCAGGCCCACAGTGTGATGACATGGTCTAGGCCATCTCTGCATCTTTTAACCAACTTTAACAACACTGCTTGGCCAACGACTCTAGCACATTCTTATGTATAATTTTGTCCTAAATATAGTAATGTTGCTGGAGGATATGCAATACAAGATATCCACTGAAAACAATATTTAGAATGTTTGAGAACAGTTAGGCAATCTTTTGATTCCATGAAAATTATTTTGTAAGGAGGAAATGATCTCTCTAGCTCCATTCCTTTTTAGTAAGCACTCATTAAGAGTAGTTGCTCCTGGATACAGGCCCAATCAAGAACAATTCTAGAGACTTCTTTCTTACATGTGTTAATGTGTCTACGGCTTCTTAGTTCCTGGTTAGTCCACTTAGTCAATTGACTTAACTCCACCAACCTTGGTTGAGGCTCACTAACAGAAACTGCAACAGTTCATGAAGAATAATTGTGGATTATAGATAGATAAAAAAGTAAGACCTGACAACCATTTTACTATACTGAACTAAGATCTTCAGAGGAAGAAATTGATACAAGAATGAGAAATATTCATACATACTCAACCTTCATAAAATTTTTGCTAGGTTCTAGATGTAGGAGAAATTCAGAATCCATTCTACAACTTCATGAAACAGAAAGTCCTAGGCCTTCAGAGAGTCTGCAGACCCTCCCGAAAGCTATCGTTTAAAATCAAAATCTACATTTCTTATTCATTTAGTAAACCAACCACCAGGAGAAAATGAAGCTGATCGATTAAAAGTTGAAGACATCATGAAAGATTTATTTGTGAAATGTTACACATACATCCAGGAAAAAGCACTCCTGGCAGCTATAAAGTTATTGACTGAAATGTCACTGTTTGGAGTATATCACATCATTATTATTTAGTGAATAGCAGTAGTCTCTAAGAACCTTTGCAACATTCAGACAGTTGACATTACTGTTGTAAATATTTCAGAACAAGAGGTTTTGGCTTGACTGATGAAGATACTTCACCATCTTGTTCCATGGAATGAAAAAAAATCATGTTATGTAATTTGAGATTGAACTGAAATATTCCTCCATGGTAACTGGCTTTCATGGTTTTAAAAACACAAAGGAATCTGCTCAAGAACTACCATCCATAGGGGTATTCAAGTTTATGCTAATCCTGAAAGCAAGTACAGCAAGGGATGTCTGCCAGTGTAATTCTGGTATGATAGTTCTGGTAACCAACAACTTCTTGACTTAATCATACCTGAGGCAATATATAAATTTGGTATGATAAAACAAGAAAAAGCATATACCTTATGAGATTCCAGATAACTAAAAGATTTCTTTTCCATATTAAATCAGTAAGATGTGCCAGCCAATCC